CTGCAACCTGGACATGTGCCCTTGACTGGAATTGAACCTGGGATCCTTCAGTCCACAGGCCGACTCTCTATCCACTGAGCCAAACCAGCTAGGGTGGGTGATGAAATTTTTCTATGCCTTGTTAATTATATCTTAATAAAAAAAATTTTCAATACCTTGATTGGGGTGATAGTTTCAAAGGTATAATTTCTCAAAACTTAGTAACTGTACACAGAAATGGGTACATTTTAGTGCATATTAATTATACCTTAACTAGAAGCCCAGCACGCGAAATCATGCGGCCCCACCCACCCGTGCAGGTCTTTGGTCAATACAACGTAGAAGCCTAGCACGCGAAATCGTGCGGCCCCGCCCACCCATGCAGGTCTTTGGTCAATACAACCTTAGACACAAGATAATGAAATTGGAGAACACAGGAGACAAAAGGAAGAGCTGAAGAGCAGCTGAAGAGACACAAGATCACCTGTAAGGAACACGGGACACCCAAGTTCTCAGTGGTAACATTGGGAGCAAGAGACAGGCTAACTCTTCAGACTGCTGGGTGCTGGCCTTAGTTGATGAAGTTGCGTTCCAGAATCAGAGAGGTGAGCAGAGTTCTGGCTGACGGCTGGCAGGAACTGCTCGAGGGAAGGCTGGTGTAGCGGTCACGTGCACGACCATGCCTCATCTCATTTCATAATCGCCCTGAGGGCCATTGGCTTCTTTTTACAGATGAACAGTCTGAAGTAGAGGTGCCCACACTTGGTAGAGTTTGGGGTTCTCGAAGTTCACTGGAGAGTTCCGATTCAGTCGTGCCACAGCCCTGGCTGACCTGGGTGGATGTGGCGCCGGCTCTCTCTCCTGCCCTCGCACAATAGATACCCCTGGACGTCAGCCCCCCTCCGGGCTCGGAGAAGAACGGCTCCTCGCTCTCCTCTGTGTGAAAGAGCCTGGTGCCCCTGGGACACTTCGAGCTCAGTGCCTTCTCTTTGTAGTGGTTGAGACACGCACAGCGGTAAAGACCCGCGTGCCCGTGTGATGGGCACGTCTCCATTGCTGGGGAGGGACCCTGTGCCACAGGGGTCCTGAGGGTATTCGTCTCCGTGTCCCAGGCCCCAGGCAGGGCATGTGCATACATGTCTCATTTATCTTCACAGTCACCCGAGCAGTATTACCCACTTCGGATGAGCAAACAGTAATGAACCCAAAGCCGCACCATCATAATGACAGCCAGTCATTGGCAAAGCCAGGACGCGAACTGTGGTCTCTGGGTTAGGCGTCTGCCCCCTCTCTGTCACTTTTCCTGTTGATGGAAGGCCCAACCAGCCTAAATCCGAGGAAGAAATGGTCCTTTTACTGAGGCCTTGTGAACTGCTAGGCTAGGAGATTCCTGAGTCACATCAGAACAGCGGAGCTAAGATGCTAACGTTCCCTCGGAGTCTGGTTGATACTCATTGTCCAGTCCTTGCAGCTTCCTGTCCTCCAGCTTCCTGGTCCTTTTACAAGGATGTCTGTGCAATCTTCCCCTAAGGTCTCGGGAAGAACCTGTAAATGCTGACAAGGAAAATGCAGGTCCTGGGCAGGCTGAGCATGTGGGTCTGCAGGTAAGCCAGCAGCACCTGGGGGTTCCACTTCTCCGTTTGCTCTGTAAATGCCTGTTGGTGCAACTGAATGGCAGGCACTTGGCTTAAAGCTACAGGGAACACAAAAAGGGATAGACCTGCCCCCTTTGTAAGGGAGACACCGCTCTGTATACAAATAATTACAACTCTCTCTCCTCTGTCTGCTTGGAGAACTGCTCTGAACTAAGCTTGTACTTCACCCCCGCGCTTCTCGCCCGTCCCTCGCGCTCGGGGCACCCCAGGGAGGGAAAGGGCGCTGTGCTAAAGAGCCCGAGCTTCCGAGTTCCCCCTCTCCAGCCTGAGCCTGGCTGTGGGGCTCACACCCAGTTCTGTCCGGTGTCTGTGAAGTAGGTGCTCCAAGGGGGTGAGCTTGAGTGATGGGTTGGGTGACGCCATGATCTAGCCGAGGTGCCATGGTAGGCGGAGTGCGTGTCCTGCCACAGTGCCTCTTCGGGGGCGGGGGCTAGTGAGGTAGATTTCAGGTCAAAATAAGGACTTTGTAGCAACAACAAGCCAGGAGCAGAGAGAAACGCTGCCTGGGCTGTGCCGGGGGGTCTTACTGGCCGTGGGGCGGAGCTCAGCAGGCCCGAGGAAGCGATGCCGGGTGACAGGTTCCTACCTGCGCGGGCATCAGGCCAGGCGACACGGTGATAGGAAGGATTCTTTTTTTAAAGCATAATGTGTGTGTGTTCAAATATTTTTATTGATTTTTAAAGAAAGAGAGAGAGAAACATCAATGGGCTGCCTCCTGCACACCCCCTTGGGGATGGAGCCTGCAACCCTCAAATGTGCCCTGACCGGGAATCGAATCATGACCTCCTGGTTCATAAGTTGACATTCAACCACTGAGCCACGCCGGGCCAGCAGGACTGGATTCTTTGTTTTGTTTTGTTAATCCTCACCCAAGGATATTTCTCCATTGATTTTTAGGGAGAGTGGAAGAGAGAGGGAAAGACAGAGAAACATCCATGTGAGAGAAACACATTGATTGGTTGCCTCCTGCACATGCCCTGACCAGAGTGCAGGCCGGGGAGGAGCCTGCAACCGAGGTACGTGCCCTTGACCGGAATTGAACCCAGGACCCTTCAATCCGCAGGCTGATGCTCTGTCCACTGAGCGACACCGGCCAGGCAGGACTGGATTCTTGATGGCACTTTCCCTGCCAGGAGATGAAGCCAGAGCACTGTGTCCTCCATGCAGCCCCGATGGCCAGGTCGAGGGGACTCCGAGGTCACCTTAGACCCCAGAAGGCAGTGATGGGGGACATTTTCTCTCTGGCCCAGTGACTGTTTTAATCGTCTTGCTTTGTCGACAACGGGAGTGAGACTGACTGTCTCTGTCTGAAGCACCGCCTCCCTCTGGCCTGTGCCGCTTCCCTGTTGTGCTCATCCTCAGTGTGACCTCCTGGTCAAGGCATTTTTTTAAATGTATTTTTATTGATTTCAGAGAGGAAGAGAAAGGGATAGAGAGAAACATCAACCATGAGAATCATGATTGGCTGCCTCCTGCACGCCCCCTACTGGGGACCGAGCCCGCCAATCCGGGCACGTACCCTTGACCAGAATCGAGCCCAGGACCCTTCAGTCCGCAGGCTGACGCTCTATCCACTGAGCCAAACCAGCCAGGGTGTCAAGGGCATTTTGATGCCTGAAAGGCAGCCAAGGTTGACCAGCAGGGCTTTTCTGAGGACCGTTCTCGGTTGTGTGTGGAGTGCCTTCAGCAGACTGTCCAGCACGCCCTACCCTGGGCCTGAGGGACTGTTCCACCCTCCCCTTCGTGCACTGGGGCACCCTCGCTCCCAGGATCTGCTCTCGTTCCTGATGCTCCAAACCCAGCAGACCCCTGCACTCAGGGCCCCAGAACGCAGGTTTACTTTACGCTGTCCTGAGAGCCACGGGGGCCCAGGCAGAGAAACTGCTGGGCGTCTGGCGTGGCCGTCCCAGCAGGGGCCAAGGCTGGCCTGGCCATGCCAGGTGGTGGCGTAGGGCACCGGCTCAAAGCCTAGAGGCGCTGGCTGTGTGACCCACTTAAGGATGTGGCCCTGAATCTCCAAATTACAGACTACTGTTCATGACAGAGTGTTTATTGCTCACCACAAGCCTGTTTAAACGTGAGGAGCTGGGCTAGTGAAGGCTCAGTGAGTGACAGCAAGTCGGGCAGAGCGGGCAGTGCAGCAGGCCCACGCCTCCTTCCTACCACCTGGCGGGGGGGGTGGCCGGGGCGTGCTGTCATTGTGTGGTGGAACCCACTTTTCATGCGTCTGGTCCCTGAGGGAGGGAAGGCCAGGCCCCAGCACCACCGTCTCCCCCGGGAGTGCACCTCTGAGCAGCCACTTCCACAGCTCAGACCCCTCAGCCCGGTTCTGGGTCCTGGGCCTTCCCGCCTGCCTGGCCAGGAACAAGCAGGATAGAGTCTGCACATGGCTCCCTGGTCTCTCCCCACTCGCCCCTCCTCTCAGGCACCCCCTTTCCTGACCCTAAGGTCCCCATGAGACGAGTGCCTGATTGCCTGTCTTCCTTTTTGGGAAGCCTGGTCATGGATTTGGCAGAGGACTTGGGGTGAGGTAACCAGCATTCACTCTGTGCTAATAACCCTCACAATCAAAGGCTGTCCCTCGGCTGCAGCCTGGTGACCAGCTAGTAGACAGCACAGAGCAGAAAGGCCAGAATCCAGGCACAGGGACCTTGCTCTCCTGCCCCCTGGTCCTGCCGGACCACTGGCCCTCGCTCTGAAGGCGGACACGGCCCTCTCCTGCTTTTGTCTCCATTGCAGGACCACGCTGGCCCAGCAGGGGTGAGAGAAGGAAGCAGGCGTGAGGACTGGGACGCCGGCCAGCTCTCTGGCCCTTGGGGGGAACCACTATGTCCTGCCCAGCAGGTCAGGGCCACGTCTAAGTGGGAACGATTTCTTTTGCCACTTGGAAGCTCACATGTGGACACAGGGCCCCCGACACCCCTGCAGAGGGACCCCAGGCCAGCGGGGGCAGCACAGGCTGAGCAGGGGTCTCCCAGGGCTCAAACTGCAAAAGACGGGGGCCTCAGGACACCCAGTCCGCTCCTGCTTCCTGGGGCCACACACACTCCTACATCTGGGCTCAGGAGGCCCTTCGGGGAGACCCCTGAGCAGTGGGGTGCAGGCCCTCAGGCAGAGGGTGGGCACCTGGTCAAAGGGGCACAGGAGCCCCGACCCGTGCGACTGTGTGACCTCTTTAACACTGGCGAGGACTTTGATGATGTTCTGTGAGCTGAGACTAGTGTGTTATTACGCAGGTGTGTTAGGTACCTGAGCCCTCCTCCCCTAGACCTGTGTCCCTGGAACAGGGTTCCCTGAGGGCTTTAATTAGGGCTGAGGATTTATGGGAACTAAGAACCGACAATAAACATGACTTTCAAACGGATCATCTCTTATTGCAACATCTTGGGTTAAAAGTGCTTACACCATTTAATTGCAGTTGGTTTACAGATATGCTAACAGAATGGCTACAAAGGATCCTCTTACTTTAAAAGCAGGCGACACATTTGGAAATGAGAACTAGAATGGCTGTGAAACGGGCAGTGCTCAGTGACCACCGGGGGCGCCTGCAGCTACTCCTGTGCCCGCGAGGCCTGCCGACTGCCTGCCCTCCCATTCTGGCTGCAGGACAACCACCTCCTTCTGACGCGGTGCTGGCTGTTGCAGCTGAACTCTGAGTATATCAGGTTCTAGCAGAAAATCAGCTACACATCAGTTACTATTAGTCATTTAAACAAAGAAAAAGCAGACGACCATGAGGCAAGATGGATTCTGGGCTGTTGGTGATACCCTGGCGGGCAGAGGGCAGGGAGATGAGGGGCCCACCCTGGCTGCACGAAGCGGGCACCGAGGGAAGCTGGGAAGCCCCCCTTAGTCATCGTCACAACGCTGGGAACTCCCTCCTGTCCTTGTCCTGCTGCCCTAAATGGCTTCATGCATCCCACCCGGTTCTGAAAGAAAAATGCAGAGTAACTGGCCCTTAGAGGTGTGGGGTTCTAACAAGCTCAACACAACTGTGAGACAGGAAGGGGGTCAGATAGCAGGTGAGCACAGCTGTCACAAGGGCGGTGGATGCTTTGAGTACTGGATGGTGTCCAGGGCAGCCCCAATGTCGTAATTCTTGGTCTGTAGGAGCCTGGTGAGCCAGCCGCCTTCATCAGAGAACCCCATGGACAGCATCTGGGAGAGGGACTCAATGAGCCGGGGGTCAGCTTCTGCCAGAGAGAATAATAAAAGCCATGAGGGGGAGTTGCTGGGCCCCAAGTGTGACCCGCAGGCAGCAGCAGCTCCTCCATCCAGCAAGTCCCAGTGCCTGCAGGGCCTGGCCCTCCCAGGCTCTCTGGCCCTCAGGCACACTCCAGGCTAGGGATGGGCAAGCTTTTCCGCTGCTTTGCAGGCTATTGGTCTGTCACGACCGCGCCATTCTGCCATTACATCATAAATGCCATTACATAAAAGCAGCCAGACACCATCTAAACAAGTGATTGCTGTGTTCACATAAACTTGTTATTTATGGACACTGAAATGGGAATTTCATCTGATTTTTACAGGTCTTGACTTTTTAATGAGGGAGGGAAATACACTAAAAGTGAGGCCTCCTCATTTTTTTTTAAAAGAGTTCTAGACAGGAAAGGAGAGGAAGAAACATTGATTAGCTGCCTCCTGCACGCCTCCCACCTGGGATTGGGCCACAACCCAACCATGTGCCCTGACCAGAAGTGAACTGGCAACTTTTTGGTGCATGGGATGACACCCAACCAACTGAGCCACACTGATTTCAGAGAGGAAGGGAGAGGGGAGAGTTAGAAACATCAATGATGAGAGAGAATCATTGACTGGGCTGCCTCCTGCACGCCCCACACTGGGGATTGAGCCTGCAACCTGGGCATGTGCCCTTGACTGGAATCAGACCCGGGATCTCGGTCCACAGGCCGTTGCTCTATCCACTGAGCAAAACCAGCCAGGGCGAGGGCCACAGGTGTTAACTTCTTAGACAACTATTATAAAGGTGAGAAAATTGCCCTGGCCGGTGGCTCAGTTGATTGGAGCGTCATCCCATACATCAAAAAGGCTGCAGGTTTGAGTCCTGGTCAGGGCACATACAGACCTAGCTTGCAGGTTCGAGCCCCAGGCTGGATGTGTACAGGAGGCAGCTGATGTTTCTCTCCCCCCACCCACCCCACTTCCTCTCCAAAAAATCATAAAAACAGGTGAGAATTTTTAAAAAATCATTCTTGGCCCATAGGCTGTAGTTTGTCTCCCTTGCTCTAGGCAGAGAAGATAGCCACCGGGGGCCCAAGGGCCACAGCTGGCCCCAGGGGTTTTCTCTTGAGTATCGTCCGGACAACACTGCATGTGACAGCGATGAACGCAGACATAGGCTGCCCCTACTCCGCATATGCTCTCAGCTACCAGGTCCCCCCGCCACCCCCAAACTGCGGCTCCCCGCCTGCTCCCACAGGAGCCTTGGCTGGGCCCTGTTAGGCCGCACTGTCCATGAGGAAGCAGAGTCTGAAGCCAGGACCAGGACCCCCGCTACAGAACCTCGGGTCCAGATGTTATGTTTCAGAAGTTACTAAAATCAGCTGCGCTTATGAGGGGCTCAGTATAGACACAGAGGACAAAACCAACTAATTTCCTCTCGTGTCAACAGACAAGCCCACAGCAGAGAACAGGATGTCTTTGTGTGGCTCAAGACAGCTGATAGGATCTCTGAATAAAGAGGCAGAACACAAAACTGCCTGCAGTCACTTGCCTGGCGGCAGGTGTGGGTACACCGCAGCTTCCTTCAGCCCCGTGGGTCCCTCCTGGGAAGGGTCCAGAGAGCTTGGCCCTTCGGACTCGGGCATCTGTAGAGACTGGAGTTCGCCTGTCGACGGGTCCACTTCCTTTGAAGATAAATGAGTCCAGTCATCGTCTCCTCCCGAGCAGTTGTCAGACTCCATCTGCTCCTGGAACGAAACCCCATGAGCACAGGCCCTCGCAGCCACCCCGGCCACAGCCTCAGCCCCTGGGGGGTGCGTGGGGAAGACAGACTGGCAAGCAGCTAGAGGACTGTTTTTCTTTACCAAGTTCTAGTGAAGGGGCCAGAGAACGACGGAGGTGCCACACACTTAACTCTGCACCGGAACTGGGTCCTGGCTGTGCCAGTGCCGGAGGGGCCGTGGGGGGGGAGCTGGGGGAAGCGGGAGGGCTTGCCTCGGGCTGCACACCCGACTGCAGCGTGATCTTGTTCATTTGCTTCGCCAGAGCCTGTGCAGCTCCTTCCATGGCCCCGTCCGGTTTGCTGGAGTCAGAAGAGCAGCTTCCTGGCTGCGAGCTGCACCTCTCCTCCGCGCTGGAGCTGCCTGGGGAGACGGGGGTCAGGCGGCTTCTTTTCCCTCCATGTTCCACGTCAATATCCACCTCGATGCCTAGAGGCCAAGGAGGAGACAAAAACCCTAAGTCCTCAGAGGGCGAACCTGCCGCTTACAAAGCGCTCTCACATTTAGCCCCGAAGCGGGAGGGCCGGGATGCTGGCATCCACTCCAGACCCGGCCACATGCCAACACAGGACCAGCTCAGGTGGCAGCCACCAGCAAGAAGGCAAGTGGATGGTCACCTGTGACCTTCACGATCCCAAGGGCTGAACTCCCCAAATCCTGGCCCAAATCTTCCTGGCTTCTAGAAACTCACTGCACCTCTCTCTTCCTCCAGCATAAAAAAACATTAATTGACACCCAGGTCAGTTTCAGAGCCAGTAAGTCCAGAACGAGTCCCTGTTTCCCCTGCACCAGGCAGGACAGACCTGCACAGAGGTCAGGACCTAGGAAGCGGGACCACGTGTGGCCAGAACGCCCCGCTGGTGCTGAGGCACAGGAGCTCCGTGCTGTTTGAGGGGCCGAGTGAGGTGAAAGCCACGTGCACTCAGCACTGGCATTCTGCTTGGGCAGGTGCACAGCTCTGCAGGTTGGATGAGCTGGTGTGGCACCTGTGGTCGTTCTTTCAGACCCTTCCTGCCACTGCAGTCACCAAGATGAGCGCTCATCTCATCTGAGGGCATGGGTCTGTGGTCATCTTGAACCAGAAGTCACCTTTAACCGATTCTCACTGCAGGAGGCCTGGCCCTGAGCACCCACCTGCAGACTAGCAGACGGACGCAGTGGGTGCTTTCAGAAGCCTCAGAGGCCACACCTGTCACACCCCTGGGGTCCATGCGGCAGTTCACTAACCCAGAGACCTGCTCTGAACCTGGCGTCACTCAGAGCCCCTTCCTCTTCCTCTCTTCCTCCCTGCTCCCAGCACCGGCATCAGCCTGCACTCGGGGGTTGCAAAGAAGAGGGAGAAAAAGAGAAAAGGCATCTCAACTGACTACTCGCCCCACGCCCTTGAGGAAATCCCAGGCTCAGGAGGAGGAAATGCAGGCTGTTCGCCCCCAAGGACAAGGCAGGCAGCCCTGCGACAGCTGGTCAGCCTCCCTCCTGGGACTGTTCTAAGACCTGGCTGGCTCTCCTGCACTCGGGGCAGCTCAAGAACCCGTCAGGGACTCCAACCTCGCGTGGCCTGTGGTGCAGCGCTGGGCAAAGGTTGCCTTGAGGCCACCAGGCCTTCCTAGTCTCAAGGGTGTTCCCATCCCTCTGCAGTGTCTCAGCTGAAAGCTGCGAACAGCCACGCACACACTGAGCTACCATAGGCCCTGCTGGTACCAAAGGTCAGACAAACACTTACCCAGGGGGCTGAGGGCGGCTGCCACACTCTCCCCTACGTTCTTGAGGAAATTCACACTGGGATCCTCCGATGGACCAGAAGCTTTAATTTTTAAAATATAAAAATAACGATATGTTTAATTAATACATGTCTCAATGACCTTGATACCTATTGCAGTGCTGCCACCTTTATCCTGCACGCTCTCCATCCCGGGGGCCTTTCCTGGCAGCCTGCAACCTTGTTCCCTCCCACCCCTGCCCACCTCCTGGGCCCCTTCACCCCGCTTCATCTGTGACCCTGGTGATCGGAACCCCGAGAGGGGCTCAATACACACATTATAAAATACCAATCACATCCTAGATATGTTATTTTCTCAAAATCAAATATCTCCACCCTTGTCCCAAAGGATGAGGTGAATCAAAGGACACAGTAATAAAACCAGAATCCAAAAATCTAGAATGCAAGCTCTGTGTAGTTTCTAACTTTGTGACTGTGTTTATGAAGACTTGACCTAATTTGGCTCTGACTTTCCTGACAGCTAACAAGAGAACAGAACACATTACCGAGAAGGTGTGGAGGGTGCTGAGCGGGCGGGGCCCAGGCTGGGTTTAAGGCAGGTGAACTAGTGGCCGTGGGCACTCAGGCCCGTCTCCCCATTTGTAAAGCGAAGAAAGTGCTCCCCCCTCTGCAGGGTTTGGTGAGGATGAAATAACCTCAGTGGCTGTGAGTCCAGCCCCGCACGGGCACAGCAGGAACTGGGGACATGGGGAAGGCCCCCCAGCCTGCGGCCCTGCCACCTCACCCTACAGAAGCCAGCAGACCAAGGCTCACCGGAGTTTGCTGTGGGGCTGGCCTGGGTGTCCCCCGCCCGAGGAGGACGTGGGCTCCAGTTCCCAGGTAGGCCCATCTCCCAGGCAGGCCACCCAAAGTGCCCGTGTTTCAGCTTCCGGAGCCAGCGGCTGTGAGGGAAGCCCTGAGGAGAGGAAACAGGGCAAGTGGCGCTGGGTCAGGAGGCTCCAGCCACCCTGCGCCCACCCTGGCCAGCAGGGAGGCCCGGCTCACCTCAAAGGGGCTGGGGAAGGCGAGCTTGCTGTGCTCCCTGTGCATGCCCTTCCCCTCGCAGCCGGCACACAGGTCGTAGTCGGGGCAGACGCTGCACTTGTACCGGGTGCCCACCACTGGACCGTTGCAGCCGTCGCAGATCACATTGGGGTGCACCATGTTGCGGGGTGCCTCCTGAGCACATGGGGGGCGGTGGTCCCGCCGGCACTCCTTCCTCTCTGCATGGAGGGCAGAGAGCCATGAGGTGGGTCCCACAAAGTGTCCCCTTGTCACTCCCGTGGGCTGCAGCACTGTCAGCAGCCCCTGGTCCCGCTCTCCAGACACCGAGTCCATGTGGGACTCAGCTGCTCAAGTGACAGCAGTGACAGCAATAAAGTGACCTGAGAACCTGCCGGGGGTCCCAGCACCTGCGCCCGTGTGGCCCGTGTGGGGGAGAAGCAGCGGGGGCTGTCTCTGTACAGCTCTGGTCCTGCCCTTCGCTAAAATAAACCCACAGCACCCCGCAAGCTGCTCCAGGCCACGGCACTTGGTCTGGGCACAATCAACAGTGAACCCAGAGATCTTCTGCCCCCACCCACTGTGGTGGACACCGACTCCTGCTCGGGCGAAGCACAGAGGACGGTGCCCTCTCCACAGCCCGCAGCCTCCACAGCCCCAGGCAGCCGGTTCTGCTTGGAGGCAGCACCCCAGGCAGCCCCTTACCTTTAATGTAAATACGGAACAGGTCATCCTTCACGTATGCCATGGCCATCGTCAGCTCCTCGTCACTGGAAAAGGCAACCAAGTCCCCGTCCTCATCTAGATTGTTTAAAAGACAGCACATGAGCACCCAGGCTTCTCCCCTGCACACAACTGCTGCGAAGGGCTGAGGCCGGCGCTCCAGGAGCACCTTGGGGGCTACCCGAAGCCCACCAGTGTGAGGCAGGGGGAGCAGGACTGAGGCCAGACTGCTCATCCCGCTGGCGCTGCCGGGAAGGTACGGACTCCAATCTGGGCCTGGGGGCACGGAGGAGGCAGAGTACCCGGTGCACGGGCAGCAGCCGTAGTGGCTACACACTGCTCTGCTTCCAGGCCAGCTGTCCCTTCACAAAGGGGCTGCCTCGGTCCACATCTGACCAGGCCCAGACCCATCGTCAACTGTGGGAGGTCCCCACCTGTGACCTGTTCCTGGAAAACCAAGCCCCTCCAAAGGCCGTGGGCCTCTTGGGGTTTAGGAGAGGAAATCAGGTGACTCCATCTGCTCGCTTCCTTCCCCAACGAAGCTGAAACTATGGATTTGTTTGCAGTCTCCTTTTTAGATGTGGCTCAACATGGTTTTAAAGCACCACCATGTAGGTCACAGCACACCGCACATCTGCAGGCTGGGCCAGCTGCGTGGGCCACCGGACAGCACTTACCGTAAGACTAGGGGCAGTGCCAAAAGGTGAAAACAACCCAAACATCCATCAGCTAGTGAACAGATAAACAAATGTATGTCCATACAACTGAACATTACTCAGCCACCCAAAAAAGAACGAAGCAGACACATGCTCCAACACTGGTGTACCTGGGAAACATTATGCCAAGTTTTTAGAAGCCAGTTGTGAATATTTATATGAAATGTCCAGAACAGGGAAATCCATAAGAAAAAAGAGTGCTTTCGTGGTTGCCTAGGGCTAGGATGGGAGGGTGGCTAAGGAAGAGGTCCTTTATAAGGCCGTAGAAGATTCTAAAATTGTGATCATGGCTGCACAAA